TCTGGGGCCGAAAACCCCCCCCAGCCACAGCATCTTCACTAGGTTGGGGACACCGCTGCCGGCTTGGGGACACTTGGATACAACCAGTATCCTGGGTCAGCAATGCTGGGGGCCACCACCAGCCTGGGGACACCACGGGTGGGGAGACCTGGATGATGAGCTTGGTGAAGGGCTCCGTGATGATCTTCAGCAGGTCAGGGGCATCCTTCCCGCTGCGGATGTTGAAGGTGGCCACGACTAGGTGGGTGACATGGTGCAGGTACCCGGTCACCACCTCCAGCGGCAGCAGGACCAGCACCGACAGCCAGTTGAAGCAGTCGTGCACCGTGGCACCAGCAAAGGCCCTGTGCGTAAGAACCTGTTGGCGTGGGGTGGCCCCCGAGGAGCAGCTCCTGTCCCCTCCCAAAGTCCCCTTCGCCCTGACCAGCTCTCACCGTTTGAACTCACTGCGGTCGCCAGCCTGCATGAGGGCCACAATGGTGTTGGTGACAGAGGTGCCAATGTTGGAGCCCATGATGATGGGGATGGCGGAGCGCACCTCCAGCACTGGGGACAGAGAGACCAGCTAGCCCAGTGTGGCCCGGCTCAGGGTGACCCCATCCGACCACCCTGTCCCCCAGCCTCAGGTCCCCGAGAGCCCCATGGGCGCACTCACGCCCCGAGGAGACCATGCTGACAATGATGGAGGTGGAGGTGGAGGAGCTCTGCACCAGCACGGTCACCAGGATGCCCACCACCAGCCCGGCCACCGGGTTGGAGAGGATGGCATTGTCCTTGAAGATGTCCCCAGCCACCTTGCCTGCAAGAGAGCGTGAGGGGCAGGGTGACAGCGTGGTGGGTGCAACCAGCCGCCCACGTGTACCCCCGCCCTACCTCCGGCCAGCTGGAAGGCAGAGCTGAGCACATCCAGGGAGCACACAAATAGGTACAGGAACCCGAACATCAGGGGCACCTTGAGAAGGGAGACACAGATGGACTGGACCCTGGCCCAGCACCCCAGCTCTGCGCA